CAGCACAGTTCCGTCTTGGCGGTCCGTGGGACAGGAGGTCTTTGGGGCTGCCTCTGTCCGAGAAGGGTTGGAGCCACAGGGGATGCAAGAGTAGAAGGGGCTGAAGCCAGGCTACGTGGGCACCTGCCGGTGCAGGTCGTGTGGGGCCTCGTCCGTCTGTCCCTCTCACTCCTGCTGGCCACAGGATGCGGGAATGGCTGCTTCCCTTCCCAGCTTTGGGATGCTGCTCCTGCTGTTGCTGCGGGACCCCAGCTCCGGTGAGTGACCCTTGACCCCTCAGGACCGCAGACCCTGCTGCGATGGAGCCATGCCCAAGGGTCTGTCCTGCTCTCAGCCCCTGCCGCCCGTGCGGGAGCGGGGCACGGCTGCAGAGGCAGAGAGCCCACTCCCAGGGCGTGGGCTGCCCTGCGCACTTGGGCATTGAGGGCCAGATCGGTGGGGTGGCGGGTGCTGGGGTAAAGAGGAGACCGAGCCACAGCTACAGCAGCGCACGTTTATGGGGCCTGGCCTGGCGCGTTGCGGGTAACAGGACACAGCGACATGCTGGGCACAGAGATCACGTAAGCTACGGGGGAGCTGGGTCCCGCGGGGCTGGCGCTGCCTTGGTCCAGCTCAGTGCCGGAATTGCGGCACCGCGGAGGGGATGCGGATGTCCTGCCCCTTCTCCAGCCGCCGCTCACAGTCAATCAGGTAGTTCACACCGTCTATCACCAGCTGCACCAGCTCCACCTGCACCAGGAGCACACGTCCTGACTGAGGGCTGTCCCGGAAGCCCCGCCAGCAAGGCACCCGGCCGGCCCCTCTGCGCGAAGGGCAGGCGCTGCCACCCCCAGTCCCCACGCGCTGGCCCCAGCACACAGCCCTGGAGCCGTTCGGGTGCCACGGGCCTGTCGTGCACACACGCTCCAGAACCTCCCTCCCCAAAAGCAGCTCTGCCCTGCACCCACCTCTGACTTCCCCAACCGGTCCAGGTTGGAGATGTCGAAGACACTGCCAGTAGCTGCGGTGTCCACACCACCTGTTCCACGCTTCTGTAGCCGGAGGTTCTCCAGGATCTTAGGGAAGCGGCTATCCTGGTGCCCAGAGATGGTGTCAGTGCTCAGCGGGACCATCAGCAAGGGAGTCAGGGCTCTGCAGCCGACTGCTCCCTGGGGCAGCCCTCCCGCCGCTCGCAGGACCCCGCCAGCGGGCTCGTAATCGCCACAGGGCGCCCTGCCCTGAGCAGAGCCAGGTGGACACCTGGGTCCCCGTCCCCTCCAGCCGCGGATGCAGGCGTGGGCTGGACCGTACGCTCCGCTTCCTCGGGGAACCTGGGCGAGGTCCAGGGCCGGGTCCCATGCAGTCCTGCACCTCCCACGTGGCTGGGCTCCCTGTGACCCGGCCGCCGGGGCTCCCCACAGCCCTGGCCTGGCTCCCCACAAAACTGGCCATGGTAATACCTTGCTGAGCAGTGGCAGCTTGATGTGGACGCCTGCTCGCAGCCCAGTGCCCAGGTTGGAGGGGCAGGTCAGGATGTAACCCAGCCGCTCGTTCCACATGAACTCCCAGCCTCGCTCCTGGATTAGCCGCTCCACCTGGGTTAGAGGCACAAGCAGCCGGTCAGCCCCCGGCTGTGGGGTGCCCAGCCCTCGGCACAGCAGCACCGCCCAGCCCCGGCCGAGCGCAAGGGCCAGCCCCGCAGTGGCCCCGCTTGCCCTGTCCGTCTGTCCGCCTATCTGCCTGTCCATGGGGCTGGCGCAGCAGGGGCTGGCGGGCGCTCACCTCCTTCAGGCCCCGACAGAACCGCTCAAAGACACGCTTCATGTTGCCACCCTTCTCCATGGAGATGACGCGCGTGTGGTCCTCCTCGTTGATCCAGATCAGGAAGGTCTTCTCGTTGTTGTGCCTAGGGACAGGGCAGCGTTCAGCTGTGCTGGCGGCTACAGCCACCTATGCCAGCCCCGACTGTGCCCCTTCTGCCCCCGTGACCATGGTGCCAGGGCTGCCCCGTGGTCCTGTGCCCGTGGGTGGGAGCGCATTGCCAGAGCACAGCCCGGCAGCAAGGCAGACAGCCAGGAGCTGCTCCTGGAGACGGGCCAGCGTTCATCCACACGCACCGCTGCGGGTGACGTGTCCTGGCTCCAGTGCCATGGGCGCAGGCAAGCACTCCCGGGGAGGAGCGGCGTGGTGCCAGCGTGGTGGCAACCCTGCCTGGACTGGGGACAGGACCACGGCTCCTGCACCGCGCAGGCAGCGGGAGGGGGCTGTGAGCGGTGGAGTGCACGTCGGGATGCTGGGTTAGGGGGTGGCTGGAGCTGGGGACCATGTGTGCTGTGGAGGTGTTTTCCATGAGGCTGCTATAAAGCCGCTGCGCCAGCGAGGGCGGCGTGGGCGAGTGCGTGTGCCGGCTGTCACTCCACGGGCGCATGGGATGCTGCGTGGGATGTGGCGTGGCTGTGCAGAGATGCCGGGAGGGAGCGGTAAGATGCAATTGTGGCAGGATAAGTTTGGGGGCAGACAGAGTGTGTAGAGGGCCGGGAGGAGCGCTGGGGATTGCCTGGGGAGCAGAAGGCAATTACAGGCTTTTGGCAGCCTAGAGTGCAAGGTGCTGCATATGGTGAGAGCGGGCAGGACCGAGAGCAGGCGCGGGCTCTGAAGTCCCACTTCTTCGGAGGACGCCATGGCTTGTGTATGGAGCGGCTGGCTGCTGGCTGCAGCGCACAGGGGCTCCCAGGTCAGGTGTGAGCAGGGAGAGCCCAGCTCCGTGTGCCCACAGAGCCTGGGGTGACTGTGGCCCCGGGGGGCCGGTGCCGCATGTGCCGGGGTCTGCGGTTCGGCGAGCACGGAGAACACAGGTGGCGAGGCTGGGGCAGCCGGACGGAGCAGCAGTGTCCCCTGCCTTTCTGCCCTGCTGACTGCCCGATGCCGGGGCAGATCCTCACCAGATCCCTCGGGCGTCAGGCTTGTCGAAGAGGAAGTGGTCCTGGAGGGAGGCAGAGTGCGAGGGCTCGCCAGGGCTGCACGGCTGGCGACACGACACCCTGTCTCACTGGTCCCAGCCTGCTGTGCAGCCGATGCACCGCGGCTGTCCCAGGTGGGAGAAGCTCGCCTGCTGTCCCCACCGATGGGCAGGAGTCCCTGCCTTCCTGGCCAGGGGGGCAGAAGGCTGCTGGCGCACAGCCCACCCCGTACCAGGGGCTGGCGGGGCACCGGCTGTGCGCCATGAGCCCACCTTCCCCTGGGCATGGGCAGGGACAAGGGCTGAGAGCTGGAGGGGGCCATGAGCTGCGGGGGCTGTGTTCAGCAAGCTCCCTCCTCCCCTGGCTCGGGAGGGCTGAGCAGCCCCGTGAGCACCCTCTGCACCGCGGGGCGGCCTCGCTGGGGAAGGGGGTCCTGGTCCCACAGGGCAGCAGGGCTGGGAAAGAAGGATACGGCCCCCCTGAGAGGCAATGCTGGGAAAGGGGTCCTGCTCTGCGGGCACCCGGGGTGGCTGGCCGGGAGCTGCACCAACTCACATCAATAAGCTGCTGTTGCTCCTTCTCTGTCATCTCGCTGAGGCGGTAGTACCGGCCTGCCAGGTCTCCGGTGAGGCCGTTCAGCGCGTCCACGGCCACCTTCTCCACCTCCCGCCGCTCAGCCCGGGTGCAGGCTGGCGGCAGGCTCAGCCCGCGGATGCTGCGCCCCGTCCGGACTCGGGACGAGAGCACGTAGCGCTCATCGAAGTGGCCAAACTTTATCTGGAACAGACATGAGCCGTGGGGTGCTTACGGGGCAGCGCTGGTGCTGGCAGGGGCCCTGTCCCCCCGAGGCCCAGGAAAGGGCCCCTGTGCACAGCACCGCTGCCCGGCTCGCGCACCTTGCTGGCGTCCAGGTCTGTGACGTGCTTCATGGTGCGGGGGTTGTATCCGTTGTGCCGCTCCTGAATCACGGGGTCAAACAGGTCAGCAAACACCTGGAAGCAAGCGGGATGATGTGCAGCACTGCAGACCCAGCACCCCACGAAGCCCCTGCCACAAGCTTGGCACAGTCCCGCTGCCAGTGTGGGGGACGTGGCAGCAGGGGGGCCGCAGAGGGTGGCTGGGGCCATGGCGCATCCTGCAATGCAATGGCAATCCACGGGGCCAATGCTGCCCGGGCAAGTAGGGCTCAGGGGCGAGGAGGAGGAGGTTGCAGGACTCTAGGAAGAGCTGATCTGAAGGAGCCCTGTGTCCCACAGGGACACGCTGGGGCTGGGGCTGGCCGAGGGGCCCCTCCAGCTGCCTGGGCTGGGTAGGAGGAGTGGGCAGCAACAGCCCAGGCTGCTGGATGTACCGCCGGTACTGGGACTCCTCTGGCAACTGCAGGCACCCTGGAGAGCCTGGAGCATGGCAGGGCTCCGGCCGCCACTCACCTCGTAGGTTTCCTCATCGCCAGCTACCATGCCCACAGTCTTGATGAAGGGGTGGCCGGGGTTGTCGACACCTGTCTGGATGCACTGGTCCAGGGTCCAGCCATTTGGGGTTGCTTTGTCACAGAGCCTGGCATAGATGGCTGGCGTCAGGTTGCTGGCCATGCAGTTGTTGTGCTTCCGCAGGTCGGGGTACTCAGCACTGTGGGAGGAGAGACTGGTGAGCCCTTCGGGGCCAGGGGACCCCAGCACTTGTGCCCTTGCCCCACAGAGACCCTCAGGGCAGGTGTGGGCAGGGGAGCTCCAGGGAGGGAGGTCAAGCTGCTCTGCTTGTCCACACCGGCAAAGGCCAGGTGGGAGCGGGAAGGCAGTCACTGGCATCACACAGCGAGGGCAGAGAGCAGCCCGAGCTGAGGGCCGACATTGCCACAAGGACAAGAGTCCACGAGCAAATCTGGATCGGTTGTTAGGGTGTGGCTCCTTATCAGCCACGTACCAGGGCCCCGGGGTGGGGGGGCCGCGTGGGGGGCGGAGCTGGCGGGGCGACAGGCCCCAGCCACGTCAGCCACAGCTCCGTGCTGGGGCATGGGCAGCTGGCGGGAGCCTGTGCGCTGAGCTGCCGGGGCGGCTGGGCCGTGGAGGGGGGGTCTCACTCCCCTTCTCCTCCCTGGGGCTGCCCCGGTGCCAGCGCAAACGGAGGGTGGCTGCTCCCACTCCCCTCCTGCCCAGCACTGGGGTCTGCCTGTGCAGCGAGCGGGGAGGCAGGGCACGCAGCCCGCGGGGCCCTGGCGTGTCCGGCCCCTGGGCGCCAGCCGGGTGCCACGACCCCCGTCCCTCCGCCCCCCAGATGCCGTGGGGCAGGAGATTGGTTGACCCCAATCTGCAGCCGGTGGGAACCGCGCTGCTGTGGCGGAGTTTATTGTATTAGGGGGATGCTTTCCTCTAATCAGCTTAGCGGGAGGCCGTCGCTTGACCTCATTCCCACTTTAGCCAGGCTTTGCGCTGGTTCTGCGCTCACGGGGGGATTGGCAGGGCAGGACCCCGGCAGCGCTCTCCTCGGTCAGATCCCTCCTGCTGGGAGGTGGTGCCTCCTCTTGCCTCGGTGGGACAGGACTGGCACTTGTCAGCCCAGGCAACCTGGCCAGTGGCCAGAGGGGGTCCGGCAGCCCTGGGGACACCTGATCCTCTCCCAGGAGGGGTACTGCCTTGGGGGGGGTTCCATGTGGTAGAAGAGGAGCTGGGGCTAGTGCAGGTCTGGGTCAGTGGGAGCAACAGCCGGCCACCACCGCCAGCAGCGAGCCCTGGCACCATTCTGGCGCCCAGGTCCTGCTCCTGGGCTGAGCGTCTGCACAGGGTGCTGGGTCTGGCTGCCAGCACCCAGCCCCCGTGCTGCAATGCAGCGTGCTGTCGCTGCCGCCGCCTCCACCCCTGCATCTGCGGGCCAAGGAACGTGCGTTGGCCCTTCGCCTACAGCTTGGCTACTGCTTGTGGCTTCCTGTGCTTTGCAGAAAGAAAGGGCGGTAGGGCTTACATTGTCTGCTCTGCGTAGGGAAGAACTCGGCTCCAGCCTGGACCAGGCGTTTGCCCCAGGCAGGAGCTGGTCCCAGGCCGTGCAGGCTGAGGGCTGCTCCCCCAGCCCACACACATAACTGTGCCCTGTTGAGATGCTCCAGTTCAGAGGCGGACTCGTCGTATCTGGGATGCAGCCTGCCCCAGCCTCCCCCACTGCTCCTGCCGTCAGCTGGCTGCTGACCCACGTCTCCCCAGGGAGAGACACTGGTAAAAAGCATTTGCTGATCAGAATGGGAGACTTGGACAAGTTCCTCCCCTGCCCCCAGCACTGCTAGTGCCACCCGGCACGCCAGGACCACAGCCTGCCTGCTCTGCTTTCCACTCGTGTCAGCGGGCGATGTCCAGGGAGCCATCGAAGGGTGCTAAGGGAAGCCAGCTTACTGCCAGTAAGCAGAAGACTGCTGGAGGTTTAAGCATGCTGTCTGCCACGGACAGTCCGTACCTTTACCGAAGTGTTCAGAGAGGCCCAAACCCTGCGACTCCGGCGCCTGCCTGCAGGGTCTGCGCCTGCTGCAGTGCTGATTTAGCTCCTGGCCCAACACACCCTCCACCAGAACAGCCCTGAGTCACAGCCAGCAAATCCGGAGAATCTCTCTTCAGCCTTTCTAGAGCACCCGAACTAAGCCGGGTGGTGCCAGGATCGGCCGGCGATGCAGGGATGAAGGTGCTGAACGCCCAGCACTGTGCTCGCAAGCAGGGCCCTGCAGAGCTGCAGGGGAGACTGCCTGTTCCTGCAGCCCGGGCTGCGTCCCGGGGCTGGCGAGGGAGGGCTCAGGGGGCGGGCGCCGCGCTCCCGCCGCGCTCCCCTGGGTGTGCGGGTGTCCTCTGCCACAGGCACGAAAGTGACACTGCATTTGGCCTTACTGGGGCTGCCTTGGCCCCTTGGGTTTGGTCCCCAAAGCTGGTTTTTAAATTGTGACCCTTTGTTCCCCGCGCCACGCGGCTGAGCGATGGGGTGGGCTCCCCGCTCCAGCTCCCCCCCGGCTCCCCAGCCGCAGAGGCTGGAAGTGTCCTCAGTGGAAGGTGGACGTCTGCCAGGAGCGTGACTCGGCGCGGGCACTGTGCTACCACCCGCGCCGTCCCGCGAGGCAGCTCGGCGCTGCTGTCCTGCCTGCGACCGCGGGCTGCGGCTGCCTGCAGCAGCTGCCCTCTCTGCCCTTGCGCGAGGGGGTGCTTCACCCAGGACGAGACCTGCTTGGCGCTCGGCAGGTATTATCAGTCCCTTTATGGACTGGGAAGCCTCTCTGGGAGCGGAGCCCCCTGCGTCTCCCCGCGGCTCTTCACCGCTAGCCCAGCAGCCTCCAGTGCCCCTCCCGGCGTCACCAGCTCTGCGGTG